TATATTCTACAGTCTCCCTCAATCCCCATGTGTGCGCTGAATTCTGTCTATACCCTGCAGCATCCCTGAATGTGTGCACTTGATGACAGCGCTGTGAAACCTTGGAAAAGTGCCTGACCTCCCCTCGATATTACCCGTTGGGGGCCACAAGGGTCTTGTTTGCTAAAATGGCATTCATGGCCCTGAAGCTATTGTTGCACTGAATTGAACTTTGCAGGGTACGATCCCAAAACCATTAGCTTTCTGTTTTACACTTCCACCGTATCTGTCATCTGCCTTCCTCCAGGACATAAGCTGGTGGAGAACAACTTCCTGAAACTTACCACCAGGGCTCTGAGTCACCCTCAGGGTGTGCTTATTGACAGTAACGCTCTGAGAGAGTATTCAAGCATTGGCTTTACAAGAAACACGATGAAGCACAGTTCATCCTAACGGCAAAACATTGCAGCTGTGCTCCGACCAGCAGCCTGCTAATCAGAGATAACACGCTGTAGAGCTGGATGAACGCAGCAGGCCAAGCAGCATCATAGGAGCAGGAAGGCTGACGTTTCGGGCCTAGACCTGCTCCTCTGATGCTGCTTGGCCTGCTGTGTTCATCCAGCTCTACACCTTGTTATCTCAGATTCTCCAGCATCTGCAGTTCCTACTATCTTTAGCCTGCCAATCAGCTTGTGTTAAAACGAAGGACATGGTGAGGTCTGTGAGCTCTGTGTTTAATCTGATCTTCTCCCTCTCTTACTTTAGCTGATTCAAACCATCAGCGCAGTGGATAAGGATGAGCCATCGGAGAGACAGCACTTTTATTTCACCCTGGCACCAGGTGCTGCCAGTAATCCCAATTTTACTGTTAGAGATCATCAAGGTAGGACACAAGGTGGTATGTCATAGTTAATGGGCTTTATTCCTACTCAGGCATTCTGCAATGATCCCTGCTGTGTACAAGATTGAACTTCTGATACTAACTGGATCTTGCACCTTATCAACACGCTTTCTGGTGTGTGATAGACAATAATTGTGAAGGATACAACAGGCACAGCAGCAACAGACAATCTCATTATTGTAAAAGCAGCTGTTGCAGCTGTTGCCTGTTTGCCAGTCAAAAAGCATCAACTCCTTGTGCCCCTGGAATACTGTAAATCAGCAGCTCCATGCTCTCCTGTCACTCTAGCATCCTTCTGGTTCTTGCTTCTTAAGTGCGACCAATCCATCCACATGTCAGTTGGGACAAGATTTAATTTGCTGTGTACACGTTGTGATGTTCAGCTCCTCAGAACAATCTTATTGTGCTGTCACAATTCATCAGAGGATGTTAATATTTGAGTAGTGGCTTTATTTTCCTTCCTCTCTCTATGTCTCTCTTCTCTTATCCCTTCTCTTCCTCCTCTTCCTTCTACTCCCTCTCTCTATCCCTCTTCTTTCCTCTCCTCCTCCCTCATTCTTTCTTACTCTTTCTCTTCTTTCTCATCCCATCTTTTCCTCCACCCTCTTTCTCTGTCTTCTTTCATTCACTCTCTCTCTCTTCCTCTGTCCCTTCATCGCTGCCTTCCTCCCTCTTTTTCTTCCTACCCTCACTCTCTGTCATCCTCTCTATGAACTCTCCTCCTCCATCGAAATCTTCTTCCTTCTATTCTCTCTCTTCCTCTCTGTCCATCTTCCATCTTACCCTCTTCCTTCACTCTTTCTTACTCCTCTGCTCCTTTCTCTCTTTCTTTCTCCCTCGATGTCTTCCTCTACCCTTTTCCTCCTTCTCTGTCTTCCTCCCTCTTACTTTTCCTTCCTTCACTCTTTTTTCCTTCCTTCCATTTCTCTTCCTTCCGCATTCTTTTTTTCCTTCTTCTTTCACTCTCTTCCTCCTTACCCCTCCTCTCTTTCTTCCTCTCTCCCTTCCACACCCCCTGCATCTCTCACTTCCTTTCTCTCTCTCTCTGGCCCTCTCTCATGCTCTCTATCTGTCTTTCTCTCTTCTTCTTTTTCACCTCTCTTTCTTCCATAGTTGGTTAAATGTTGTTGAAGTCATCTATTGTTTTCAGTGTCAGTATATATTAATGACCCCTCTTTAAATATAGTTTATCCAGAATGGAATTATTCACCCATTCGTAGTCAGGAGGAAGGAACTTGTTCTCAAATGCGAGTATAACAGATGGATCACTTGCTGAATTGCTTTTTAAAGTACCCAGGAACGACGTAAAAATATGACTCAAAGTAAATCCATATCTCTCTATCCTAATTGCCTCACAAGATATTAAAGTCCACAATGAATGGCATATTGATGTATAAAGCACAATAAATCATTACCAGAAAGGAGCATTTGCAACATTATAAAACTGATTGCTTTTTAGATCATAGTCAGATTTAACACAAAGGAAGCTGTTTCTATCAAGTACTTAGATAGATGGAGCGTTTGGCACATTGAGATTCACATGAGATCTTATCAGGAGATGACTTTATACCTTCAGACCAATTAGGATGTGTAAAGTATAAAATCTATCTGGTGGTGTAAATGGCATTACTTCCTAGGAGGATACTATAGGTACATCAATTATTCTTCTTATAAACTTGATTTATCAAGGTTAATTAAAGAAAAATATAATTAAAATATTTTAGCTTTACCTTTTTCCAATCTCTGATTGGTTAGCCTCATGAAAAACCACCTTTAATTTGAACCCATTTAGCCAAAATAGCTTTTCTTCACTTCTCTTTCCCTTCTTCACTTCCCTCCAAATGTCATCTTCTTCATCTCTCTTTTCCTCTATCCTTGACTTCCTTCCTTTACTCTCTCTTCTCTTATCTCCCTCTGCCTCTCTCTTTTTCTTCCTCCTTTCTTCTCATATTCCCTTCCTCATTGATAATGTGATGGAATTGGAGTTATCAAAGGATATAAGTTTCTACTGACTTCTCTGGTCCCCGATAATAAATTTCACATGAACCTTCCGGTCATGATGAGAGAATTGAGAATCATCGTCAAAGTGTTAGATCACACATTCATTTATCTCAGTCAAATAAACTGTGCCCAAAGCCAGCATTGTATGAAAAGATCTGATGAGCAGTTATCGACCTGAAGCATCAATCCTGTTTGCCTCTCCTGGAAACATTTTAAATCTGATAGCAAAATGTGTCCTGCAAAAACAATGTTGTGTCTGACCAAGTTCTGAAACAGACATTGGGCCAAAATCCTCCAAACACTGTACCTTCAGAAAATACAGTATCCATTTAGTGGACACAAAACTGAGTCCTGTGAAACACCACTGGAAAGCACATTCCATTCTCAAAAACAGCCATCGACCATCACCCTTTGATTCCCATCATTGAGCCATATTTCCCTGAATCCCATGGGCTTTAAATTTTCTTAAGTCTGTCAAGTGGGACCTACCAAAATCCATATAGTCAACATCCACTACACTATTCTCGTCAGTTCTCCCTTGTTATTTCCTCAAAACGTTCAATTAGGTTAGTAAGGTACAACATTCTGACTATCCCTGATTAATCCATGCCTCTCCATGTATCACACAATCCTATCTCTCAATATTGATTCCAGTAATTTTCCCACCACCAAGGTCAGACTAACTATTTTATAATTCAGCCTCTCCCTTGCACCATTCTTGAATAGCGGTACAATATTTGCAAATCACCATTCCTCTGGTACCTCACGTGCAACTGGGGAGGAATGGAAATGATCCTTAGAATATCCAACTTTTCATCCCTGGCTTCCTTTAACAATTTTTTTTAAATTCAGTAATGAAATATGGGCATTGCTGGCTAAGCCGGTATGTATTCACCATCCATAATTGGCAAGAGGGCAGTTAAGAGTCAACAACATTGCTGTGGGTCTGGAGTCACAAGGATGGCTGATTTACTTCCCTAAAGGACATAGTGAACCAAATGGATTTTTATAACATTTGACAGTAGTTACATAATTTGGTGAAAATCTGAACTCATGGCCCCACAAAAAGGCCTGGGGTTTTGGATTGCTAGTCCTAGAGTCATAGAGGTGCACAGCACAGAAACAGACCCTTCGGTCCAACTAGTCCATACCTACCAGATATCCTAAATTAATCTAGTCAGTCCTGAGGAAGTGACACCGGACCTGAAATGTTAACTCTGTTTTTTCCTTCACAGATGCTACCTGACCTGCTGAGCTTTTCCAGCAACTTTATTTTTGTTCCTGATTTACAGCATCCGCAGTTCTTTTGGTTTTTATTTCCACTAGATTTGACCCCTATCCCTCTAAACCCTTCCTATTCATGTACCCATCCAGATGCCCTTTAGATGTTGCAATTGTACCAGCTTCCACCACTTCCTCTGGCAAACTGATTCCATACATATTCTGCCCTCTGTCTGAAAACATTGTCCCTTAGGTACCTTTTAAATCTTTCCCATCTCACCTTAAACATTTGTCATCCAGTTTGGACTACCCTGCCCTGGGGAAAAGACCTTGGCTATTCACCCTATCCATGCTCCTCAGGATTATATAAATTTCTATAAGGCCACCCCTCAGCCACCGATACTCTAGGGAAAATAGCCCCAGCCTATTCAGCCTCTCCCTATAGCTCAAACCCTCCAAACCTGGCAACACCCTTGTAAATCTTGGAGGAACACAGCAGGTCAAGCAGCATTAGAGGAGCAGGAAAGTCGAATTTTGGGTTTACACCCTTCATTAGGACTGGGGAAAGGGAAGGAGCTGGGAAATAGAAAGTGGAAGGTTGGGTCTGGGGGAAGGTAGGTGGAATGGTGATAGGTGGATGCAAGTAGGAGGTAGTAGGGATTGGTTAGAGGTAGAGCGGATAGATGGGAAAAAGGATGGACAGGTTGTGTCAGGTCAAGGAGGCGGGAGGGTTGGACGTGGGATGAGGCTGGGGATGGGGAGATTTTGAAATCTGTGTTGATGGGGAGGGAGCTGTAAGGGGGCTTCATGCTTGAACAGTTCATAACTTTACCAACACCTTTCACCCCAACCTCAAATTCAGCTGGACCATCTCCAATACTTCACTTCCATTCCTGGACCTCTCCGTCTCCGTCTCTGGTAACCACCTGAGCACCAACATCTATTTCAAACCCACCGACTCCCACAGCTACCTGAACTTCACCTCCTCTTACCCACCTTCCTGCAAGAATGCGATCCCTTACTCCTAATTCCTCAGCCTCCGCCACATCTGCTCCCAAGATGGAGCATTCGTTCCAGAACATCCCAGATGTCCTCCTATTTCAAGGACCGCAACTTCATTCCTCCGGTGATCAAAACTGTACCTCTTGCGCATTTCCCGCACTTCTGCCCTCAAACCCCCTCCACCAACAAAAATAAGGACAGAATCCCCCAGTCCTCACATACCACCCCACCACCTCTTGCCACCTACAATCTGACCCCACCACCAAAGAGATATTTTCCTCGTCACCCCTACCTGCCTTTCATAGGGACCTACTCACTCTGCAACTCCCTTGTCTGCTCTACACTCCCCACCAACCCCAACCATCCCTGCAACCACAGGAAATGCTACACCTGCCCCTACACCTCCACACTCAGTTCGATTCAAGGCCAAAACAAACCTTTCATATCAGACACGGGTTCACCTGTACATTCTCCAGCCTGGTCTACTGGATCCATTGCTCCCAATGTGGTCTCCTCTACATCGGTGAGACCAAGCGCAGACTCGGCTACCATTTCATAGAGCATCTGCACTCTGTTCATGACAAATGACAACACCTACCAGTTGCGAACCATTTTAACACCATCTCCCACTCCTGGGTGACATGTCCATCCTGGGCCTCCTCACAATGACACCACACGCAAACCGGAGGAGCAGCACCTCATATTCCACCTCAGGAGCCTACAGTCCAATGGCCTAAACATGGCCTAAACCAGTTTCAAAATCTTTCCACCTCCAGCCTCATCCTCTGTCCAACCCCACCTCCTTGACCCAGCACATCTTCTTTGCTACCTATCTGCCCCACCCTTCCTACTGACCAATTCCCGCTACCTCCTACCTGCATCCACCTATCACCATCCTACCTGCCTTCTCCCAGCCCCATCCCCTTCCCTCTCTTTATTTCCCAGCTCCCTTCCCCTCCCCAGTCCCGATGAAGGGTGTAATCCTGAAACATCAATTTTCCTGCTCCTCTGATGCTGCCTGACCTGCTGTGTTCCTCCAGCTCCACACCATGTTGACTCTGACTCCAGTATCTGCAGTTCTTGCTACCCTCCTTGTAAATCTTTTCTGAACCCTTTCAAGTTTAACAAGATCTTTCCTATAGCTAGGAGACCAGAACTGAATGCAGTAATGCAAAAGTGGCCTAACCAATGTCCTGGATAGCCACAACATGACCTCCCAACTCCTACACTCAATGCACTGACCAATAAAGGCAAGCGTACCAACCACCTTCTTCACTATCCTGTCTACCTGCAACTGCACTTTCAAGGAACAATGAACCTGCACCTCAATGTCTCTTTGTTCGTCAGAGCTCCCCAGGATCTTACCATTGCCAAGTGACATGATCACTATACCAATGTCTACCCTAACAGTCCAACTCATCCGGCCCTGGATATTTATCCACCTTCTAGGAGCTCAGACACTCAAGTACTTCCCTTCCCTCCTGCTTATTTTAATATTTCATACTCTCCTCTTTAGCTAGAATGTCTGCGTTATCCCTCTCCTTTGTGAAAACAGAAATTAAATACTCACTTCGCACCCTGCCCACACCTTCCATATCCACATACAAGTTACTGTGTATATCTCTGATCAGCCCAACCCTTCCCTTCATCATCCTGTTGCCCTTAGTGAACTGGTAAAAATCTTTGGGTTTTCCTTCATTTTACCAGCTGGTATAGTTTTAGATCCTCTCTTTGCTTTCCTGATTTACCATTATTGTTTTACCCTGTACTTCCAATGCTCCTCCAAGTTTTCTGATCAAATATTTTCTTTAAGGTTGAGTTAAATATTTGTTTTTTTTTTTCCCTGCTTTATCTTACCCGGTATGTTTCTGGATAACTCGGAACTCTAGAGTTGGCCTTTTTCATTGTCTACCTCCTCACCCAACCATTCATCCATTCACTAACGTTCAAATTGGAACTTCAAACTTATCACACAGCAGCCTACGTTGTAAAATGGGAAGAAGCCTGGTGCTCCCCTGACTCTTCCCCATCCTCACACACTTCTCTGAAGGCCACTGACCAAAACACCAAGGAGAAATACATCGAGCCAGGGAAATGTCTAAGTCCAGTGGCTATCCAGTCATCATTGCTGTTGCTTGGAAGATTAAGTAATAGAGATACAACGGTATCAACAAGATTAGCCCATTCATTTTTTTCGGTACCTTTGTTCCTTTTTGCCTCCAATTTCACCTCTTAATATAACTCATTCAAGAGATCCAGGGTCCTTCTGTTTCTCTTGAACACATCAATGCTAATTCATTAAGGCATGAATAGTGGTATTTGTTTTATACTCTCCCTCCCTTGTCCCATCTCTCAACTTAACACTGTCTTGGCTATTTCCCAATGTCGTCGTGCAAGTACTCAGGTCCTGCATTCTGTAGATTCAGTATCAAGTAAATCCTGTACCCTGACACATTAAAGCCTGAGACATCCCAGGAACAATTTCTAATTATTTGTCTAAGTGAAAAGAAAGCCAAAACGTTTAAACGTATGAGGTTATTACCAAATCCAAACTGTGTTAATACATGTGCATGTGTGTGTCCACACCAGGAAGGTATCTCACAGCCTGCAGATGTTGTTGTGTGACGAGCTGAGGGAATTCTCGTATTTTCTCTGTTTATTTCTGTGTAACCGAGTTCTGCAGTGACTTCAAATCTGTTTCTAATGCAAGCCCTGGGTCAAGGTATTAATCTGTCTCTAGGAAATGAAATTGAACTGGTAGATCATTAAATGGCTGGTCCTCATGAGTGGGATGTGATGCTTGGAATCGAAGCCAAGGTTGATGGTAAGCTGCCAACAGAGCTATGTGACACTGTATCAGTCAGTTGAGACTACTCTGAGTAGTTTGTTAGGCCCTCCTCCCCAAACCAAGACCACCAGAAGTGATAGTAACATCACTGTATTAAGCAGACAAAGTGCACAAGATATCAAGCCTTGTATTTTGTAGGATCTTATAATACACTCATTGTGATCCTTATGATTCAGGTTTTATTGTTGGAGCGATGTTGATATTGGTTTAAGAGGTTGTATGGTCTATTCCTCCTCCATGTTTGTATATTTGATCCACCTGTCACTGCATTTTTCAACTGAACTTTGTTTTCCCTTTGTTCATCATTATCTGTCAGATAACACGGCTGCCATTCTGACTCAAAGAGCTGGTTATCGTCGAGGCGAGCTGGCCATTCACTTCTTGCCCATCCTGATAGTAGACAATGGGACTCCATCGCTAAGCAGCACCAACACCCTTACTATCCGAGTGTGTAGGTGCAGCAACAATGGTGCTGGCCAACTATGCAACGCTGACGCCTTCTTTTTGCCTGCTGGCCTCAGTACCGGTGCTTTCATTGCCATCCTCATCTGTGCCGTGATGATACTGGGTGAGTAACCTCGCAGTTTGTAATGGCACCAGTGTGCCAGCCAATGAGTTGAAAGCGGGGCAGGATTTAAAGGCAGGAATCTTATCAATCTCTGGTTGATTGGTGCTGTGTTCTTGGCAAACTTCAGAGGGGTAGGTAGATACTGAGGAGATGTTTCCCTGGCTAGGGAATTTAGAACCTCAGGTTTTCGGGGTGGCAGTGACTTGGGTTAGTCATCCAGAACCAGAGGCTAATATTCTGCGGGCATGGGGTCAGATACCATCACGGTACATGGTGAAATATGAATTCAATAAAGATCTTGCCTTATGGCCACCATTGTTGGAAATACCCAACCGGCTCACTCATGTCCTTTAGGAAGCAAAATCTGTTGTCCTTAACCAATCAGGCCTACATGTGACTCCAGACCTGGTTAACTCTTAACTGTCCTCTGGACAATTAGGGATGGTCAATGATACTAGTCTTGCCACCAACACTCAAGTCCCAAGACTGAATAAAAGGGGGATAAGAGGCAATCATTCATGACAAGTGGATAGATTTCTTCATTCGATCGATTGTTAAGTCTTTAAAATTCTCCACCCTAGAGTGGATGCTCCATCAGTGAATACATTACAGACTGGGGAGGCTGATTTATGTGTACCAGGGAATCAAAGGGGACGTGGACAGGGGGAAAAGAGGAGTTAAAACCCAAGATCAATCCTGATTGTGTTGAACAGTGAAGCAAGTCTTATCTTCTCCAGCTCCTCTTCTGATGTTAATTGACATGGAACCAAAAAACTCTGAAAAATAATACTTTTACCCTCAAATTCAATCCATTCTTATGGATAAACAACTTTAAATGATTTAAAAAATCACTTTTAAATAGAGAGAAGAATTCATTAGCTTTATTGTCATATGACAGTAAGTTTCTTAATAAATTGTTATTAAAATTTAGATTCTAAAGCTTTTAAAGGTTGCCTCTTATTAGCTCCAAAAAGATCAATTTTATTTATTTATTTATTTATTTTGTGGAATGTGGGCATCGCTGGCTGGCCAGGATTTATTGCCCAACCCTAGTTGCCCCTTGAGAAGGTGGTGGTGAGCTGCCTTCTTGAACCACTGCAGTCCACCTGCTGTGGGTTAACCTGCAATGCCATTAGGGAGGGAATTCCAGGATCTTGCCAGTAAAGGAATGACGATGTATTACCGAGTCAGGATGGTGAGTGGCTTGGACGGGAACTTGCAGGGGATGGTGTTCCCACGCATCTGCTGCCTTTGTCCTTCCAGATGGAAGTGGTCTTGAGTTTGGAAGGTGCTGTCTGAGCTTCTTTAGTGAATTTCTGCAGTGCATCCTGTAGATAGTACACACTGCTGCTACTGAGCGTCGGTGGTGGAGGGAGTGGATGCTTGTGGATGTAGTGCCAATCAAGCGAGCTGCTTTGTCCTGGATGGTGTCAAGCTTCATGAATCATGGGGCTGCTCTCATCCAGGCAAGTGGGGAGTATTCCATCATACTTTTGATTTGTGCCTTGTAGATGGCAGACAGGATTTTGGGAGTCAGGAGATGAGTTACTCGTCACAGTATTCCTAGCTCTTACAGCTACTGCATTTATGTATTGAGTCCAGTTGAGTTTATGGTCAATGATAACTCCCAGGACGTTGATAGTGGGAGATTCAGTGATGGTAACACCATTGAATGTCAAGGGGCGGTGGTTAGATTGTCTCTTATTGGTGATGGTCATAGCCTGGTATTTGTGTGGCGCGAATGTCACTTGCCACTTGTCAGCCCAAGCCTGGATATTATCCAGATCTTGTTGCATGTGACCATGGACTGTTTCAGTACCTGAAGAGTCGCAAATGGTGCTGAGCATTGTGCAATCATCGGCGAACATCCCCACTGTGGACCTTATGCTGGAGGGAAGGTCATTGTTGAAAAAGCTGAAGATGGTTGGGCTTAGGATGCTACCCTGAGGAACTCCTGCAGAGATGTCCTGGAGCTGAGATGATTGACTTCCAACAACCACAACCATCTTCCTATGTGTCAGGTATGACTCCAACCACCGGAGCGTTTGCCCCTGATACCCATTGATTCCAGTTTTGCTCAGGCTCCGTGATGCCACACTCAGTCCGAAACAGCCTTGATATCAAGGGCTGTCCCTCTTGCCTCACCTCTGGAATTCAGCTCTTTTGTCCATGTTTGAACCAAGGCTGTAATGGGGTCAGGAGCTGGTTGGCCCTGGCGGAACCCAAACTGGGCATCACTGAGCAGGTTATTGCTGAGCAGGTGCTGCTTGATAGCACTGTTACTGACACCTTCCATCACTTTACTGATGATCGAGAGTAGACTGATGGGGCGGTAATTGACCAGGTTGGATTTGTCCTGCTTTTTATGTAGAGGACATACTTGAGCAATTTTCCACATTGTCGGGTAGATACCTATGTTGTAACTGTACTGGAACAGCGTTGCTAGGGGAGCGGCAAGTTCTGGAGCACAAGTCTTCATCACTATTGCCAGAATGTTGTCAGGGCCCGTAGCCTTTGCAGCATCCAGTGTCACTAACTGTTTCTTTATATCACGTGGAGTGAATTGAATTGGCTGAATACTGGTATATGTGATGCTGGGGTCTACTGGAGGAGGCCAAGATGGATCATTCAGTCTTATCTTTTGCACTGATGTGCTGAGCTCTTCCATCATTGAGATATTTGTGGAGCCTCCTCCTCCAGTGAGTTGTTTAATTGTCCACCACCATTCATGACTGGATGTGCCAGGACTGCAGAGCTTAGATCTGATCCGTTGGTTGTGGGATCGCTTAGCTCTATCACTTGCTACTTTGGCTATTTGGCATGCAAGTAGTCCTGTTTGGTGGCTTCACCAGGTTGATACCTCATCTTCAGCTATGCCTGGTGCTGCTCCTGGGATGCCCTCCTGCACTCTCCATTGAACCAGGGTTGATCCCCTGGTTTGATGGTAATGGTTGAGTGGGGGATATGTCGGGCCATGAGGTTACAGATTGTGCTGGAGTACAATTCTGCTGCTGTAGATGGCCCACAGCGCCTCATGGATGCCCAGTTTTGAGTTGCTAGATCTATTTGAAGTCTGTCCCATTTAGCACGGTGATAGTGCCACACAACACGATGGAAGTTATTCTTAAGGTGAAGGCGGGACTTCATCTCAACAAGAACTGTGCGGTGGTCTCTCTTAGCATTGAAGTCACCCACCTAGAGTACATTTTGTGCCTTTGCCATCCTCAATACTTCCTCCAAGTGTTGCTCAACATGGAGAATTACCGATTCATCAGCTGAGGGAGGATGGTACGTGGTAACCAAAAGAAGGTTTCCTTACCCATGTTCAACCTGAAGCCACGAGACCTCATGGGATCCGGAGTCAATGTTGAGGACTCCCAATGTAACTCCCTCCCAATTGTATCCCACTGTGCCGCCCCCTCTGCTGGGTCTGTCCTGCCGGTGGGACAGGACATATCCAGGGATGGTGATGGTGGTGTCTGGGACATTGTTTGTAAGGTATGATTCTGTGAGTATGACTGTGTCAGGCTGTTGCTCTCCCAATTTTGGCACTAACCCCCAGATATTAGTAAAGAGGACTTTGCAGAGTCGACAGGACTGTTTTTGCTGTTGTCTTTTCTGGTCCATCGGTTGATGCCGGGTGATCTGGACAGATTCATTTCTTTGAGACTTTGTAGCGATTTGAACAACTGAGTGGCTTGCTAGGCCATTTGAGAGCAATTGACAGTGGACAGCATTGTTGTGGGTCTGGAGTCACATGTAGACCAGACCTACTTGAGGATGACAGATTTCCTTCCCTGAAGGACATTAGTCAACCAGATGGCTTTTTCCGACAATTGACAATGGTTTCATGGTCATCAGTAGTTTCTTAATTCCAGATTTTTTAAAAAATTGACTTCAAATTCCACCATCTGCCATGGCGGGATTCCAACCCGGGTCCCCAGAACACTGTCTGGGTCTCTGGATTAACAGTCCAGTGATAATACCACTAGACCATCATCTTCGCTTTTTTTGTAGCCTTTTCAAAAACCTGCAAACAGACGCAATTCACCGAACATGGTGAAACATTCATTCGAAGACGGTTGCATGCGTGATCTGTTTTGATGGATAGCCATCGATGCTAAAGATCATGGTAACAAGGGTTCCACTGTCCTGTAATTAAATTTACATATCCACACTTTTGCAGCAGTTAAGCTGATTTTGAGAAAATTGCCATGAATGAACAAAACAATGTGACTGAGGGGAAACTCCAAGCCGGAGAGTTTAATTTCCTCACAGCAAATTCAGCAAATGCATGATATTCTTCATTACACAGGGAGAGGGTGAATAGGCTGGGGGTGTTTTCCCTGGAGCACCGGAGGCTGAGGGGTAACCCTATAGAAGTTTATAAAATCATGAGGGGCATGGATAGGGTGAAAAGTCAAAGTCTTTTCCCCAGGGTAGGGGAGTCCAAAACTAGAGGGCATAGGTTAAGAGGAGAGGGGAAGGATTTAAAAGGGATCTGAGGGACTTTTTCACACAGAGGGTGGTGTGTGTATGGAATGAGCTGCCAGAGGAAGTGGTGAAGGCTGATACAATTACAACATTTAAAAGGCATCTGGATGGGTATATGTATGGGAAGGGTTTTGAACGATATGGGCCAAATGCTGGCAAAAGGGGCTGGATTAATTAAGGATATTTGGTCAGCATGGACAAGTTGGACCAAAGGGTCTGTTTCTGTACTGTACATCTCTATGACTCTATATCCACTATTTGTTTTGCTCATCTGGGAATCGGCAAGGCAGCCAATTTTTGATGCAGAGTGATGCCAACAGCGGTGTGTTCAATTCCCACACTGGCCAAGGTTACCAAGAAGGATTCTCCTCCTCAACCTCTCCCCTCACCTACGGCATAGTGAGCCTCAGGTTAAACCACCACGAACCAGTCCTCTCTCTCTCTAATGAAAGAGTTGCCCACCATCTGGTAGGACTGTGGTGACTTTACCTTCTTAAGTTCAGGGACATGCAGCTGTAAGTATACTTACACGTTCATGGAACGGAAAGACCAGCAAAACTTAGAAGTGACTATTCACTGATCCAAAATGACCTTGTATAAGAAACAACTATTTCCAAGTTTGACTGGTTTTTATTTCCACTGACAGAATTCTACCTGAGCAACAAAGCTGAAAACAGAATAACAGCTCAGCAAAAATTTGAATTACGATATAGCTGCACTAACTGAAGGTTCTGAGCAAGGAAAGCTTAGTTATTCATGTTAGATCTTGACTTTTTCATAATTGCATAGAATTTGTTGTTTGCATCTTCATAATTTTGCATATTTCTTGACTGCATTGCAATCATGTTACATATTATTCACTCTGCAGGTGTAGAGGTTTTATGAAGCAAATATATTGGCCTGTTTCTATAGAAATTGTCTTTTTATAAACCATGCAACAAGCATTTTACAGTAAGCAATTCACAGAGAGGCTAAATTCTCCAAACAGATAAGCAGCGGTGAAAAGTCTTCTCAACTGTTCTTCTAAATCAGGTGGAAGCTTCAAATGCAATTGAGGATAACTTACACTTTTTCATTTGGATCATAAACTGATTGACTGGATTGAAAATTCTAAATTGGATTCTTCATTGCACCAGCTTATATCACAAACCAGTACGGCTATAATCTAATCCCTTTAAGTTAGAGAGCGCTTTCAGAAGCACACATCCCGTTCTGGTGCTGTCTAGCCAGACATCCTCATAGTAGCTTCATAGTAATGTCCTGCCTCCCTGACCCATGACGGCAAGCGTCTTCTTTACTACCTATCAACTTGTATTACCACTTTCAAGGAAATGTAGACTTGTACTCCAAGATTCTTCTGCCTATCAATGTTCTTAAGGGTACTGCCATTTACTGTATACTTTCCTCTTGCATTTGACCTCCCGTAATACATCTCCTCACACTTGTCTGGATTAAGTTCCATCTTCCATTTCTCCAGCCAACTTTCCAACTGATTGATATCCTGCAGTATCCTTTGACAACCTTCTTCACTATCCAAAACCCAACTTGTGTGTCATCTGCAAACTTACTTATCGGATCAAGTGCATTTTCATCCAAATCATTTATACAAATTCCAAACAACCGAGATCTCACACTGATCCTTGTGCAACCACTGGTCACACATACCTCAGTCAGAAATACACCCCTCCCTCTGTCTCCTATGACCAAGCCGATTTTGTATCCAACTTATCAACTCACCATGGATTCCAAATGACTTAATCTTCTGAACAAGCCTACCAAGAGGCTCCTTGTCAAATGCTTTAGTAAAGCCCACACAGACAGCATCCACTGTATTAACCTCATCAATCATCTTCGTCACTTCCATGAAAAACTCAATCAAATTCGTGAGACAAAACCTACTCCACACAAAGCCGTACTGACTTTCCCTACTAAGTCCACAATTTTCCAAATGCAGGTAAATCCTATCCCTAAGAACCTGCTCCAATAATTTCACGACCGCTGATGTAAGATTCACTGGCCTATCATTTCCTGGGTTATCCCTCCTTTTCTAAAACAAAGGAACACCGTTGACTATTTTTCAGTCTTGCCTGAGGCTTAGGAGGGTAGAAAATTCTCTGTCAAGGCCCTAGCAATCTCCTCCCTTGCCTCCCTCGGTATTCTGAGATAGATCTCATCGGGCCCTTGTGACCTGTCTATTTTAATGTTTTTCAAGACACACAAAACCACCTCCTTCTTAATACTGATGTGCCCTAGAATATTGGTTTACCCCTCCCTAATCTTACCATCACCCACATCTTTCTCCTTTGTTGAATGAGTTGGATAAGTGTAATGTTTTCAGAAATCTTCTCTGGAATAAAAAGTTAAGACATGCGTTACAACCAAGAAAAAGCTCAATTTGATTCCCTTTGAAGCATTAATAGTCACTGTACACATTTTTTTAAAATCTAACTTATGTAAGCAAGTGGAACTTGAACAGTTAGATAGCACTGGGGCAACTTGACCTTTTACCTGACCCAGGAGTAGGGACATTACCACTAGACCCCACCCAATGATCGCTATATAATGCGTTTGGACAACCAGGCAGTCCACCAAGAGATTGAGTGGCCACCCTGATGATTTTCTTTCCTGTTTTTCTCCTCAGCACTCGTGTTCCTCCTACTGGTACTCAGGCGGCACAGGAAAGACCCGCACTTTGCCGGCGAATGTGACGACATCCGTGAAAACATCGTCAGGTACGACGATGAAGGGGGCGGTGAGGAGGACACGGAAGCGTTCAGCATGGCCACCTTGAGGAACTCGCGGGTCAGGTGTGGCTGCAGAGCAAGGAGAGATGTGAAGTCCGACATTCCGTCAGCGTACAGGCAATCACTCCGTGGGATGCCGGATCAAGCCGTTTTCCGAGAATTTGTCAGGGAGAGGCTGAACGAAGCTGACTCTGATCCCTCGGCTCTGCCTTTCGATTCTTTGCAAACGTACGCATTTGAGGGGACTGGCTCTGTTGCTGAGTCCTTGAGTTCTTTGGCTTCCTCTTGCATGGGCTCAGATGAAAATTACGATTACCTCAGTGACTGGGGACTATGCTTCGGAACGTTGGCGGATCTGTACGGGGATAATGGAAATCACCTGGCTACATGAAACAAGGAAAGGAGAAGAACATTGAAATTTCATGGCTAGGAATATTCTTCTGACTTTGCAATTCTAATGTCAAGCCTCCCTCCTCTGCAAGTGTGTAACTGAACGTTCGGCCACCAGAGATTCTCTGATCACTTCTTTCAAATACCAGAAAATTATTTGCAGCGCACCTGAGTTTCTGAAATGCTTGTGCATCCATTAGAACCCCAATATCCAAAAGTTACCTGTGGTCAGGTGGTTTGCACCTAGAATTCTTTATCTTGCTTGGAAGATAGTGTAAAACCTCTCAGGAATCAACCGAATAGGGTATGAGCTTTCAACTGGAATCTGTTGAGCAGATACTCATCTTCCCAATTCATTCTCATTCCACGATCTGGTCCAGATTTTGGGACTTCTGTAACTAAAGGAACAAAGAAGTGAAATATTTATCATACTGCCCAGGACAATCACTAATGTCACAGGTTCACTAATGTCCTTTAGGGAAGGAAACTGCCATCCTTACCTGGTCTGGCCTACATGTGACTCCAGACCCACAGCAATGTGGTTGACTCTTAACTGCCATCTGGGCAATTAGGGATGGGCAATAAATACTGCCTGGCCAGTGACACCCTCATCCCATGAATGAATAAAGGAAAAAAAATCATGGAATTGATCAACATGAATTCAAGTGTACAAATAAGACTAGCCTAGGATCACTCTCCAAATGTATTCATTTTGCACAAACTTCATAAACGTGGGGTTTAGTCTGGGGGTGGTGCAGGTGTGGATCAGTTATTGCATTAGCCTAGAAAGTTGTGTTTTAAACATTCACCCTTGAGCACATGATTCAGACTAGCACCCCAGTGGAGCATTGTGGAAATGCTGCACTGGCAGAGGTGCTGTCTTTCTGATGAGATTCTCCCACACAAATGTCACAGATGTTCCTCATCTATCCCTTCCTTGATGCTCCTTCGAACAGATTATTTGGTCACTGCTGTTTGTGGGATCTTGCTGTTCATGGTTTATCTGTGTACAACATTACAACAGTGACAACAGGTCAGAAAGTATTTAATTGGCTGCAATAAGCAAAGGGCATCCTGAGGTCATGAAGAGCAAGTTCTTACTCACAATTTGAAAGTTATTGTTTTGATTGGCTATGTGTTGTCATTAAGAGCACTCAATATCAAATTCTGTAAAGTATGAATGTGCTAATAGCTTTGTTTTAACAACTGAGGGAGAAAAAAGACAGGCACATTCGCCTCTTTCCGCTGCATCAAGAGCAGTAATTTCAAGCCTTTGATACACGTTCCCTTGTGAAATATTCCTTTTGTTTTCAAATTCTTTGGAAAACTAGAATGGACATCTGTGGCTGACAATCTCTCGCTGTGATGGTCAACAGTATTTTTGTGTTGAATTTTATGTAAAGAATAGTAGAGGAAGTTTATGACTCATGATTATGATTATGACATTTTTAATTCTCTTGCTTTCGTACTTCACTTGTTCGGAGAACATTTGGGCTTATTCAGGAGAAAGATGCTGGGAAACTAAATGCTTGTTATTTTTGTCACAGAGTGTATGCATCAAGTGTCATCAGCTCTGCACACTCCAGAACAAAACTTACTCCAATTTAACCCAATCTCTAAAGATCATTCATTGCTGCTTCACTGTAACATTAACAATTCAGTTTGATTACTAACATATGGGATGGCTTTGTGACTTGTCAATGCCTGGCTAGGAAGTAGCATTGATGCTAAGCAAGATCATTTAAAATACGACCCTGACACTTTGCAACAATAGAAACACCCAACTCATTGTCCTGAGTGTGAATCATCAAAATCTCTTCAGTCCCTGTTTGCGGGGTTTGTTTAGTTCAGTTGGCTGGATGGCTGGTTTGCAATGCTGAATAATACCATCAATGCAGGTTTAACCTGAGCCAGTGCAGGAGTTACTATGAAGGTCCCGCCTTCTCAATCTTAGCCCTCGGCTGAGGTAGAGTGACCTTCAGGTTAAATTCACTGCCAGTTGAGGGAGTGGGACTATGGCTTTACGTTTAGTTCTTTTTGTCGATATTTTAATTTTGAGTTCTGCCTTAACAGTTTCTTCAAACAACGCATGCAATCTACCCCCATTTATCATAGAAAGAGACCAGGTGGGTTTTTGAACTTCTCCCAAGCTTCCTTCTACCCTGATTCTATCTATAGTGGCATTATATTCATCTCTTCCTTTCTCACCCCAGGTTTTCTTATTTTATATTCAATCATGGAATATGGCTGTCACTAGCTGAGCCAGCATTTATTGTTCATCCCTAATTGCCCAGAGGTGGGGTTAAAAGTCAACCACATTGCTGTGGGTCTGGAGCCACACGAAGACCAGACCTGGTAAGGATGGCAGTTTCCTTCCCTAAAGAACATTAGATGGTTTTTCCTGACAATTGACAATAGTTTCCTGGTCATCATCACAGCCATCATTAGACTCTTAATTCCAGATTTTTTTTCAATATTGAATTCAAATACCACCATCTGCCATAGCAGAATTTGAACCCAAGTCCCGAGAACATTAGATCAGTTTCTGGATTAATAGTCTAGCAATAACACCAGTAGGCCATTGCATCTCCTTCGCTTTTCCGTTACATCATTCACTTCAATCAGGACATGTTATATTTGTAGTCACACTCGGTAACTAAATCTTTTCTGAATTCAGTACTGGATTATCAATGATTATCACCTCTTGTTTTGGATTCTTCTATAAATGGAAACATCTTCTCAGCCTCTTTCTCTGTTAGTACCGCCCTTCATTATTTTGAAGAGCTTGTGTTACTCCTCTGCAATAATGAGAAAAAAAAAATCCTTGGCTCATTTTGGAGGAATTATAGATTGATAGAGTAATTTAGGGATAAGAGGAAGACCGTTCTGTCTATTGAGTTTAGGCTAGCTCTCATTGTAGCGATCCAGTCCATTGTCTGCAACCATCCCCTTTGTCCTGTCAGTTTATTTGCTTCATGTACCCATCCAAAGTTTTGATGAAACCAATGATTATCTTTGCTTCCGCCACCCTTGGTGCGAGGCAAGCTCTACTGCTGAGTACGGTAACTTTCCACTTCACATTTCCTCTACATCTTTAGCCGAATTCCTTAAATCTATGTTCTGTTCACTTTTGCACCATCAAGTTTAAAAGAAGAATGTTTCCTTGTCTTGTAAGACTGTATCAAATTTCCCCTCAATTTACTCCAAGGAAAACTGCCCCAGCATCTCCAAACGAAGTTAATAGACAAGCTGTCCCAAGACTCTAAAAGAAGTATTACTAAAATAATGACAATGAGTAGGAGAGGTGACATAAATCACTGGAAAAGATAAGGGATTTTCAGGGAGCAAGAAAGGTAGTGGAGAGCTTGGGATGTTGTTTAGATAAAGATTGATTTCTTTTAAGAATAATAATTTATACACAAACAAAATTTTTTTTAAAATGTAAATTGTTGAGATCAATGGATCTGTCAGTGAATCTGATGGAAAATGGATGAAACCTGCACATCTATCGAGAAGTCGGGGGGACCAAAAAGTCACCACTACCTCCCAAATCCTGACCACTATCCACAAGGCCCAAGTCAGGAATGTGATGGGATACTCCCCATTTGCCTGGGTGCAGCTCCAACAACACTCGGGAAGCTTAACACCATCTAGGAGAAAGGAAATTGCTTGGTTGGTACCTCATCCACCAACTTAAAACATTGCTGGAATTCTAGCAAGTATAGTGTTAAACTAGAATGCAGAGAGAGGCGACTGCATATGTCCTAACTCTTTGAAAAAGCTATGTCCAACTATTCCTACTCAGAATCACAGAATCACACACTTGTTACGCTGCTCAAGACGCCTTTTAACCTATCATGCCTGTACTAGTACTTCAAGTGAGGACCATTACTTCGTGTCAAGTTCCTGTTTGTTTTCTTGCACACCATTTCTATCCAAACAATCATCCAATGCCCCTTTTGAATGCCTCAGTTAAACCTGCTTCCACCACATTTTCAGGCAGTACATTCCATAGCCTAACTACTCCAAGTAAAAAAAATTCTTTTCACAAGAAGATTTGCTCTTCTTGCAGATCATTTTAAATCTATTCCCTCCCCTTCTTTCTCCTTTTCAAATGAAAACATTTTCTCCCCTTCCACTCTATCTAGGCTTCTCATGATTTTGATAACCTCTATTAGATCTTCTTATAACCTTCTTCAGTCCCAACTTCTTCAATCTTTCTTCATAACTGAAGTTTCTCATTCCTGGAACCATTCTTGTAAATTGCTTCTGCACTTTCTCAAGTATGTTCACATCTTTCCTATAATGTCGTACCTGCAACTGTACACAGTGCTTCAGCGGATGTCTAACAAGTGTGTGGTACAAGTTTAACATTGTCATCTTGTTCTTGTACTCTATTCCCCTAGTAATGAAGCCCAAGATACTGTATACTTTATTAACAATTCTCACCATTTGTCCTGCCACTTTCAATGGTTTGTGCACAGATATACTCAGCTCCTGCACTACCTTTATATTGGTATCCCTTATTTAAATTGTCTTTCAATGTCCTTCCCACCAAGGTGCACATTCTCTGCATTGAACCACATCTGCCACTTATCTGCCCACTCCACCCAACTTGTCAATGCTCTTTTGGAATTCTACATTGTCCTCCACACAGTTTACAATTCTTCTGAGTTTCGTGTCACCTGAGAACTTTGAAAGTGTCACAAAAGGGGTGGCGTGGTGGCTCAGTGGTCAGCACTGCTGCCTCACAGCGCCAGGGACCTGCGTTCAATTCCAAACTCAGACAACTGTGTGGAGTTTGCACATTCTCCCTGTGTCTGCATGGGTTTCCTCTGGGTGCTCCGGTTTCCTCCCACAGTCCAAAGATGTGCAGGTTAGTTGAATTGGCAGTGCTAAGTTGCCCGTAGTGTTCAGGGATGTGTGGGTTTTCCATGTGAAATATAGGGGACAGGAGGGAATCTGGGTGAGATGCTCTTCAGAGGGTCAGTGTGGACTTGATAAGGTTGAATGGCCTGCTTCCACACTGTAGGGATTCTATATCCTCCTCATACTAAGATGTAGATCATTTATATGTATATACATATTACATTGTTTTATTCCTAATTCTCTCCATCCCCTGGTTTTTTGACAATTACATGGGACCTACATCCTCTGGTTTCTGATCCTCCCGGCAAGTTACTGTGCTGAGGGCGCAAGTGGTTAGTAATCTCAGGAGACAAACATTTGGTAGCTTTGTGCATCATTTCTACAGCTTCCATTTTAACTAAGCCATTGATACATTTGAAATAATGGATTCGCATCTTTGTCAAATAGAGTTGATCACTGCATATGAAGGTTCTTGGTGTCAGTATGCTAATATTGTACTCAGTGTTTTCTAATTTAAATATATATATCTTTCTCCTCATGACACTAGACACTATTGTTAGTCTAAAAACTCACTCTGAGGGCAAGAAGGATATCTGAACATTGTGTCAAATGGCT